AAAAAAAAAAAAAAAATTGTATGTTTGGCAACAGTACATTAAAGCTTGTGTGTGATAAAGACACTATGGACAACCTTAAAACTAGCAACAGACAAGGAATGAATATATATGGCATTTGTATAAATATAAAAGATTAGTGTTCATCTATATTATTGATAAAAGATCCAATAAATCACCAGCTGTTCCAGCTGCTTGGGGTGTTGAGACAGGAGAATTGTGAGTTGGCAGGCAGCTTGGGCAACACAGGAAATGCTGTGAGAGCCTGTTTTTAAAAAAATCTTTAAAGCGGGGCTGGGGAGATGGCTCAGTGGAATAAGCGCTTCCCTGGCGATCACAAGGGCCTGAGTTCAATCCCCAGTTCCACACACACAAAAAAATAAAATAAAGTGCAATCTTCAAGCAAATTCAGATCCCCAACAAACCTGAAGCCTCCTACCTCTAGCTGACGGTGTCCCTGAGGCTGCCTGGGAGACAAGTTCCAGTGTCACCATAGCCGCAGGTGGCTCTCCGTAAAAAAGACATTGTGTGGTGTGGTGCACCACGTCCATAAATACAGCCTGGAAGTTGTTTCCCATGCTGCTTTTGCTCCTGGGGCTGCATAGTAATCCACCAGATGGATGTGTCTGAGTCACAAATCTACCTTTATCAGGAAAGCACACAAGTCCGGGGCCCTGTCTTCTTAGGCTGTCTCAGAGGTGAGAAGACACACATCTTTTAATGGTAAAATATCTGTGATCACACAATATTTGCCAACTAGATGAGACCAACTTACTTACCACTTGTGATGATGTGAACTTTCCTGACATTGGGAATCATCTTACATTTTGTGTTTAAGCTAAACACCGCTGCCTGAGTATTTTACTTTGCAAGCCCTTGAACCCTGAGGCTGGGTTCTTTGGGTGTGAAGGGTGCTGAGCTGACCCCCTCTCCCCTCCCAGCCCTCAACGTAGGGCTCCAGTCACTGGATCTGAGTTGGAATCACTTCCACATTCAGGGAGCTGTGGCCCTGTGCAGCGGTCTCCGGGTAAGGTGCCCTCTGAGGGGTGCGTGGAGCTCGGGTGAAGACGACCGGGGCCTCCCGTGCTGCCATCTTGACTTGTTTCCTCACAGTCACTGTTGATGAGGGCACACTGAGCACTCACCAGATGCTGAGTTCTTGGTCTCCCAGAATTCCTGCAACTGAATCACTTTTTGTATAAAGCCCACCTGCTGAGGCCTAGAAGGTATCTTTAGGAAACTGTCCATGTTTCCAAAGGCTGGCTCAGTTGAAGAGTAGAGAATGATCAAAAGCCAAAAGGTGGGCCGGGGAGATCGATCATAAGTGCTTCCCTGGCAAGCACAAGGTCCTGAGTTCAATCCCCAGTTCCACCAAAAAATAAAAATAAAAATAAAAAAGGGCTGGAGAGATGACTCAGTGGTCTAAAGCACCTACTTGGAACAAGCTTGGCAAAGCACAGGGACCGCGGTTCGATCCTCCAGCACCACATCCTGCCAGCGCTCCCCCTGGTGGGCTGAACTGGCCACCCACACAGCCACACACCCACACACACACTAAATAAATGTTAAAAAAAAAAAAAAAAAGCCAAAAGAAAGAGTCACAAATATCCTGAGACTCTGAGCACAGCTGGGAAGGACCTGGATGGCTCAGGCTCATCTGTCTCTCCCAGAACCACTGGGGGCTCAGTTTGGATGCAACTGAGAAGTTGTAGCAGTTGGGGCATTTGGAGGGGTGCGTCACATGTGGCCTTGACACTAGTGTTGCTTCCCCTCCCCGGAGTCTAACGTGACCCTGAGGAAACTGAATCTGTCCATGAACGGCTTTGGGAACGAAGGGGCCCTGGCCCTCGGGGAAGTCCTCAGACTCAACAGCTGCCTGACCCACGTGGATGTCAGTGGCAATGACATCAGCAACGAGGGAGCCTCCAGACTCAGCAGGGGCCTGGAGTACAACGAAACACTGCAAGAGCTGAAGGTAGTCTCTCTCCTTGACTTGTCAACAAGTGTGTGTGTGCGCGCGCGTGTGTGTGTGTGTGTGTGTGTTTATGTGGATGTGGATGCATGTGTGTGCGTGTGTGTGTGCACATGTGCATGTGTGTCCGTATGCATATGTGTTTGTGTGCATGTGTACATACATGTGCATGTGTGCTGCGCGAGCATGCATTGTGTGTGTGCATGTGTGCATGTGTCTGTGATGGAGTGGGGCAGCAAGGCCATGGGGCTGGGCGTTGCTGGAGATGGTCGTCAGGAAACATGCATCTCATACTTCCTGGGTGCCTCTATTAGTGTCCGTCTCTCTGCTGTGGACCCAGCCATCTCCTAATGTCTTTCTTCCTTCCAGATGGTGTCTCAGGCATTCCTCCACACTGACCCAGAGTGTCACACACCACAGCCTGGCCTCCATTCCCCACTACACCTGCAATCTTCCATCTAAAACCCCTGGAGCTTTCAGGTGCTCAGATCCATTTCTCTGGTCCCCGGGAGGCTTCCTGCCTCAGTCTACCCCACGCTCTCCCTTGCCTTCCACAGAGGGTCTTCTCTCCTTTCTTCCCAGCATGGTGCCTTGGCCAGACATTCACCTCCCTTGCTTTAGTCCCTGCTGTGCTGCAGGGCCTGGCTCACCCAGCTGTTCCGCGCAGAGCCTGCTGCACCTGCCATCTAGGTGACCCGTTCCCAGGACCCTGCTTACGCCTTCGGGCAGAGCGTGTGGCTCCCTGTAGTGGTGCTCTCACTTGTGTAGCTATTTGGTCGCTCATCATCCCAGCAGTGTGCAGCTTCATGAGAGCAAAGACTGACTGCCTCGGCCCATGCTTGTGCCCTCACACCTAGCTTTGTGCCATGCATGTAGTCGACGCCTAGTGAATGCATACAACGTGGGTGGATGAATGGATGCACTTTGTATACTGGATACACACTGATGTCTAGCGTAAGTGGTGGGCAGCTTGAGACAGATGAAAGAGGAGGACCCCCAGCAAGAGGGTCCCTCTGAGGCTCCTGCTGCACCCAGAACCAGGGGAGGTACTGCATCACCCACAGCCCGGCCTCCCAATGGGGCTCTCTCAGGTCAAGGCCACATGACTCACACAGGCCACGCACAGAGAGTAGCCAACTCCACCTGGCTTTCCACAGCAACCCCAAATTCCTCAAGGAGCAAGTAGGAGGAGCAGGTAGGAGGAGAATAGATATGTGGGCATTTGTGGCAGGTGAATGCACAGCCACGCACAGTGAGGACAAACCTGCCACCTGAGAGGGCCGCCATGGCCTCAAAGGCTGTAAATCCTTAGCCTCAGTGCCCAGTGACACTGAGGAGACTTCTGAGAATAAGATTAAGAAGTTCCCCCAAATTGGGTGTGGTGGCATATATCTGTAATCCTAGCTGCTTAGGAGGCTGAGGCAGGAGGATTGTAAATTCAAGGCCGGCATGGGCAACTTTGTGAGACACTATCTCAAAATAAAAAGGGCTGAAGAGGTAGCTTAGGGACAGATCACTTGCCTATCATGTTCAGGGACCTGTATTTAATTTCCAGTACTGCAGACAGACAGACAGACAGACAGACAGACAGACAGACAGACAGATGCAAAGAGGAAAAGGAGGAGGAGAGGAGAAGGGAGGGGAGAGGAAAATAGAAGGGAAGGGCACAGAGGAGGGGAGGGGAGGCAAAGATGCTTAAGTAAAATGACAATAGAAATTGCCCCTGGTTAGTTGGATGACTTAATACTTTTTTCTAATTTTTCCACAATAACCCTAGTTAATATACTTTAATTTTTTAAGTGCTTTAAAGGGCTAGGGAGATAGCTTCACAGTCTAAGTGCCTGCCTGGCAAGCACAAGGACCCAGGTTCAATACCTGGTACCACATGCCATGCTCCCCCCCATAACTCAGGCATACTGTGTCAGTTGCTGAAACCCAGATGGTGGTGCACACCTGTGATCCCAGTGCTGGGGAGGCTGAGACATGAGGACCCCTATGAGTCTGAGTTGCATAGTGGGACCCTGTACCAAATAAAACATAAAAGCATTTTTAAATACTGTAGACGAGAAAGAGAAAAGCAGAAAACAAAATTCTTAGTTGGTTCACGTCAACTTTGCTACAGAAAATATCTAGCATTCTCCACATCTGGTCCCAGCCTCCCTTTCCTTAATCTGGGAAAACTAAGAAATCCTCTTTGGGAAGTGAGCCCCACAAAGACCCTGGATCTAAGCTCCAAGACAGCAGGGCTCCAGCTTCCATTTCTTGGCTGGAGTGCATCAGGGCCTGAGAAATACCTGACCCATAATAGGTGCTCCCTTTAGCCTCCCCCACCCCCCGCATGACACCACCAGAGAAAGCCTTCGGTATAGTGGCTTCTGGGCACTGACTGCTTTCCATGTAGCAAGCGCTCTTTCTATGCTTTGCTTGGGTTAATATGTTGAATCATGGGGGCTGCACTGCCATAGCAATAGGTGCAGAGTGGTCTGGAAATTACCTGTCATTGCAAAGCCAAGCATCTTGTAAGCAGAGGTGCCAGGCTCCGTATTCCCCCAACACTGTCTGTGCTTCACTGGCTTTCAGCACCATGAGATAAAGGTCCTGATTGCTCAGCTAAGCCAACAAGGTCCTCTGTAACACAGCCAATGCCAGCTCTGTGCCCTGTTCTCTCTACTCTTGCTTACAGAATGGGTGCTGTCACCCAAATGCTCACACTGCCGAATACCTGTGCACTGGCCTACTGGTTACTTCGATGAATCTGTTTTCCTTGTCTGGTCCTGCTTCCCTTTCCTTCAGACTTGCTTAGCCCCATCAGGCTGATAAGGCAAAACTCAGTGATCAGCTCCCCTTACTTCCCTTGCTTTTGCAGTACCTGTGTGTCCCTCTGTTATTGCTTTCATCACATTTCTGATGCTGCCTGTTTGTTTGCCTGTCTCCTCCAACTACAGAAGTTACCCAAGGACAGGCCCTGTATCTGGGTGTGCATCCTTCAGTGCTCTCACATGGCAATCCTCCAAAATGTGTGTGTTGGATGGATGGGTGAGTGGATGGATAGATAGGCAGATGGGTGGATGGATGGATGGATGGATGGATGGATGGATGGATGGATAAATAGGTGGATGGATGGATGGATGGATGGATGGATGGATGGATGGATGGATAGGTGGATGGATGGATAGATGGATGAAAGGATGGATGGGCAGATGGATGGATGGATGGATGGATGGATGGATGGATGGATGGATGTAT